AATTAACATATTTCATGGCGTCCAGATACATATATTTCACAACCGGTACGCCTCCTGCACCTGTTCTTCTAAGAGGAAGTACGCTCCATCCACGCTTAAGACATTGCTTAGCTAACGTACTATCGTTGGTAAAAATGACGGGATGAACTAAGGGCCAGAAAGTCATCCAATTTTCAATGGTCCTATTTTGCACCACATGTTTATCTGGCCGATCGATCCACGACGTAAACAAGGTAAGCAATGGTATGTCATTTTCCCAGGTAGACCCATATCTCAGTGTAAAGCTTTTCAAGGAATTGTTGATCAAATATTTGTCAGATCTTAATTCTGATTGATGGATGAAATATAAGTGGTTGTGTATTTTCACAGAGTCATTTACACAGTATAAGATGAAACAAATAAACACCAAAGAGGATGGTAAAAGAAAGTGATATTTTCTGTTTTTCATAATTTTGAATGTTGAGCGGCGATCTGAAAAAAATGAATCAGCATTCGTTTAAATATACTTCTCAAACATTCTTAGATCATCGTAAGCGTTTATAGTAATTTAAGATATTTGAATGCATGTAAAACTATATCATCATAATTACTTGAAGCTAAACTGTGGGAAACTAAGACATTTGTTTTATGAGTCAGCTGAAAGAAACTAGAGTATTATCGGTTGTAAGCAGTGTAAAGTCTATGGATCAGATTTAATCACTGTAAAGTCAATCGTTATAGAAACTCTTGTTAAAGTATTATTTGATGAATACCATGTTTTCGCCCAAAATAAGCTCTGTGTTAGTAAGTATGGTACAGGTTGTTTAGGGGCCCCGAGTGGCCGAGTGGTCTAAAGCGCTGTTCGTTACGGATCACTGCCATCTCACCTCTGTCTGCGTGTGTTCGAGTCTAGGTTTCGGCGAATGTGGATATGTGAGAAAGCTTGTTAGTAGCTTCTTGTGGGTCGGGTGTGTTTGTGTGTTTATGATTTTAACGTAGCTTTTAACAATTTTTCAGTCATATCACTACGATGTCTGCAGTGTGGCAGTTTATAGTGATGTCTAGCACTGGGGCATCATGCCCCAGACATGTAGCATGATGTCCCACCCAGTCTCATTATCCTGACACCAGGCTAACCAGTCCTAACACTAACCTCTTAATGCTGAGCGTCAAGCGAGGCAGCTGTTAGTACCATTTTTGTAAGTCTTTGGTATGACTCGACCGGGGATCGAACCCACGACCTCCCGCATCCGAGGCGGACGCTCTTACCACTAGGCCACCGGAGCGGTTGAGTAGCTTCTCGTGGATCGGTGGTTCTTTCCAGTGATTTCCCGGTTTCTTCCTCCACCATTAATAATGGCCGCCATGAATAGCCTATGGTGTGCTGAAAAATGACGTTAAACCCAACAACAACAACAACAACAGGTTGTTTAAACTTCAAGGTAGTAGATTCAAGGTAGTAACTATCAGAATAAATATATAAGTAAACTTCTTTATGTGTATCCGCTTCTAACGTCCAGTTTAACTAATTTTATGATTGCAAAAAAAAACTGTTTTCACCAGCAACACTTTGCAGATTTCCTTTTGATGAAGGAACCGTTTAAATATGAACGTGTAAAAAGTAAATCCCAAAACTTCTTTATTTAACCAAAATGGCCATTGCTTACTTCAAAATATAACTGTAATTTAGGTTTAAATCTGTTAAAAACATAATTTATTATGAAAAGAAAATAATGCGAGATCCCATTGATTCAATTAATTAAATCCTTACTGAATTTTACAAGAACAAATATTACGGAGAAGTCAAAATATTTTATAGGACTTCAGTCGGGATATACACCTGCTATAGTGTCCTCAAGACAACCAGAGGAGGTGTTGTTCGTCTGCAAGCATTCTGACCTGAATTTGTTTTTTTTTCCTCGATATACTCAAACTACTTAAAACTGATACAGAATGGTCGTGTATTATTGTCGAAACATATAATGTTTACAATGCCATTATAGTTAACCTTAAATGCAATAAAGGATTGTTCGAATGCCAACACGTTTAACATAACCACAAAGTAAATAAAAACGGTTTTAAGGCTTCAGTTCAAAACTATGTTCGTTCGAGACTGATGTCGAAGAAAAAAAAAAGGAGAAAAAAATGAACAAAATAAGCAAGGATGGAAATGTGTGATCAATATGATTTAAGAATTAATATGCACCAAAAAAATTACCAGCTACGCATCAAAATACTTCTTTCGTGAAAGGTGGAAGTCGACACTCTCGATAGAAATGTGTTCCATAGTCAATTGACACTAGTACGGTAAGCACTTTTTGGGCAAAGACTGAGGTGTTAGTTGTTGACATATGCTCGAGATAGTGCAATTACTGGATGTTATAATGACAGCCCCAACCTTGTCTTTCAAACCGTCTGAATACAGTAACGTGGGCCTATGATGGGAAAATTTGATTTGCTAAAACCCTGAGCCATAACGCACAAATATAAGCAAGAATATGCGGTTAGTGTAAAGAGTGTTCCCTTAGTGCTATGAACAACACTCCAAAATAAAGAAAGAGTGAGATGAGATGCCATATATAAGCAACTTCATGTTTGGACTCCAACGACGACGGTATAGGACTAAAGATCTCATCTTTTCAACAGGGTTGAGCTAAACAGCTTTTGCTGAAGACAGTTAATTGATTTAAAAAAGCAATCCTTTAAAACAGATTTCATTATATGACTGTTTATGCCAAAATCTGATTGAGAGTAAAACATGTTATATAAAAATATGGGCGACAGATAGTAAAAAAAAATGCCAAAATCAGGACAACAGGGAGTAAAACATTCTACGCTAACATACGGGCAACGGAGAGTGAAATATTTTATGCCAAAGTATAGGCGACGGAGAACAAACCATTTTTACCAAGATATGGGCGACAGAGTGGACAACATTTTATGCCAAAATATGGGCGACTGAGAATAAAAATATACCCAAATCTGGTGACTGAGAGCGAAACATTGTTCACATTTTGGACTAGAAATCAACATCTTTATGTTAATTCTGATTACTTTTAGTTTTCCTAAATATACACTAAAAACCATACCAATATTTTAAGAGGACATGGAAATATATGCCAATATAGTGTTAATAAAGAATCTTTGCGTTAAAATCTAAGAGTGGAAATTAAATGCTGGTTTTTACTGAATGAAAGCTATACAATTCAAATCTGGAAAAAAACCCCATCTAAAACATTATATTAATGTTTCTCTTATGGACTACAACAGGATGTAGTAACACCAGCTTGGATTGATTAATGTAGGGATCCAAAAAAGCTGGTCCATTTTTGCTCTGTGGCAAAATAATACTTTTTCAATTACCTTATATGGCTTGTTTTGCCGGCTTCCTGTTCGTATTTATTTGAATCGTTGTTTTCAGACCAAACAACGAATAAACTGTAACTGATCAGTCAAGCTTTCTGGAAAATTAACACATGTAACTCTCACCATGGTGTAGACTGATTCAGTTGGTGGTGATCGAACTTTTTGACTGAGGTCTCGACTCTGAAGCCCAAGGCAGACTTAATGTTTATTTTTCAGTCGCAATTTATCCTGTCAGAATCGGGCTCGGACGATTTCTCTTTTCTTTACAAAGAAAAATTACTTTCTTTTTAGTATGCAGCTTAAAAACGTAGTGAAAAGTATTCCTGTATTTCGCAGTATTTGTTTCTTCGTCTGATAATGCGATACATATATGACTTTTTAACTGTTGAAAAGATCTGACTTATTTTTTTTAGTCTTCCTCTTTGTCTTCTTAGAACGAATGCCTAAATTATGTCTCAATCCATACTCAGACATTCAGAAGGAATTGTGATGACTCCCTGTGGTAAAAATTAGAATGATTCGAACTTAAACAGAACCTACATTATTATATGTCTTGATGTAAACGTGAATAATTCTTGAATATATCTAGATCAGTAGTACTACTGACAGATGAACAAGCATGTTGATGTGGACAATTATGACATCTAGTCCTAATTTACGTTTTTAAAAGGAGTCTTAATACAAGCATTCATATAGGTTTTTGGATGAGAAATGTCGCGCTATACTCCCATTCGCGTCATGTGCCACATCGCGTTATGTGCCACTTTAATTTCTAGTTATAATCTGTCTTTTTTGGAAACTGAATTTATTAAATATATTCATTTATAAAGTTTTTCAAATTAGCACAAATATCACGTAATAGAATTTATCTACTAAATCCGCTACATTTAATGTTAATACCTATTGACAATTGTACTTTTGTGAACTGCTCTCAATCAAGATAAGTGAATGATAATTTATAATTTTTATGTAAATGAAATTATTGTATTGATGTATACTGTACAAGTACACATGTTTGGTACTTGCATTGTTTATTGCGCTTAATGATGGCTTTTACCCGAGAATTGTTCTGATAATATCTTATGGGTTACTCATATTTTAGTGTTATATTAATAAATCATATGGGGTTGGCCAACATTTTCCCCAGTTTAGGTACGCGTGTGTGATATTGATTTTTAAGGTATCTTTAACAATTGTTCAGACATATTGCTACGACGTCTGCATTGTAGCAGTTTACAGTGATGTCTAGCACTGGGAATGATGACCCACCCAGTAACATTATCCTGACACCTGGCAGACCATTCTTAAAACTAACCTCTTAATGGTAAGCGCCTAGTACTATTTTTTAATAAGTCTTTGGCATGACAAGACCTGGGTTCGAACCTGCGACCTCCACATCCAAGGCGGACGCTCTAACAACTAGGTCACCGGAACGGTCCCAATTCTGTGTGTGAGATTTAGATTTTTAACGTACCTTTACAGTTTTAGTCATATCGCTACAATTTCTTCAGTGTGAGAGTTTAAAGTGATTTCTAACACTGGGGCTTCATGCCGCACACATATAGCATCATGTCCCACTTAGTCACATTATCCTGATACCAGGCCGACCATCATAACACTAAGCTCATAATGCTGAGCGCCGCAAGTCTTTCATTATGATCCGTCAGGGTTCGAACCCGCGACCTCCTGCATTGGAGGCGGATACTTTAACCAATTAGGCCACCAGAGCGGTCTGAAAACAAAAAGTGAAATATATAAACAAATATAAGTGTTATAGACAATACAATTTATATCGATGTTGTAAATAGTTGTTTGCAATCAGAAATACTTTATGAAGATGCAAATACAAAATAAAATATTTCCAACGTTTCGAGCCAAACACTGTGAGGGGAACAAATAACTTAAATCCACGAATCAAACACTATCTGATTGACGGGATAACTATACGCAAGAGTTTAAGATCAGAAACAAAGAAAGAAATATAGATAATAGAAACATTGCCTTAAAATTAGTACATCACAAATATATTAAGCGATGCTGTCTGACAAACATAAGCCTAAACTGCAATGATAGTGTTTATCTCACAAAGAGCCATTTTATCTAGATTACATAGATTTCTACTTATATATATATATATATATATATATATATATATATATATATATATATATATATATATATATATATATATATATATATATATATATATAATTGTCTTTTATATCAGTTGTTCCTGTTAGCTTCATTATATACTGGATGTGTGCATTGCTTTGCGTATGTACCTATTCGTTTTGAAAAATTCCATCTTTTATGTCGTGTTGGTTATAACTTATCTAGAGCTAGTGTATATAGTTTAGTTAGCCAGGGCATCTCGTATCTAATCTCTGATCTACATCTATACATATACCGTCACGACTAAGCATGCATCACCAAAAAATGATGGCACTTAGTAGGTGTTACATAAGCTCGTGCACAGCAGCCACACTCGCATAACGACTTAGAAGATAATTCTTATATATATATATATATATATATATATATATATATATATATATATATATATATATATATATATATATATATATATATAGACAAACACAATCGTTCTAGATTATTATGAACAAAATTCAATGTACATAGGATTTTTGTATTACAAAGAATCATAAATGTATACCAGACAGAACAGACAGTGGTATCCCTGGATTCTGTACTAGAATCTTGATAATAGTTTGCAGAAAAAAATAGTTTAATGCAAACTATAATATCATACAAGTTAGAGAAATTTAATTCGTAATATACGGAGTTTCGAATCCAGGTCCGCGAGTCTATGGCACCCATCGCCTTGCCTGCACGCACTATCCCATAAACAGAAACGACTAAGCACGCATCGCCAAAAAATGATGGCACTGAGTCGGTGTTATATAAGCTCGTGCATAGCAGACACATTTGCATGACGACCAAGTATATAATTCTCATATACATATACACACTAGTTCCAGATTCCTATGAAAGAAATTAAGGTGTATATATATATATATATATATATATATATATATATATATATATATATATATATATATATATATATATATATATATATATGTATATGTATATATATATATATATATTTATATATATATTTATATATATATATATATTTATCTGATTATATATATGTATATATATATATATATATATATATATATATATATATATATATATATATATATATATGTATATATATATGTATATATATATATATATATATATATATATATATCTATGTATATCTATATATATATATATATATGTATGTATGTATGTATGTATGTATGTATGTATGTATGTATGTATGTATGTATGTATGTATGTATGTATGTATGTATGTATGTATGTATGTATGTATGTATGTATGTATGTATGTATGTATGTATGTATGTATGTATGTATGTATGTATGTATGTATGTATGTATGTATGTATGTATGTATGTATGTATGTATGTATGTATGTACAAACGTTCTAACAGGAAGAAATGAGAAATTTGGCTACCAGAAGTCTGCATAGGAAATGATTCTCTCTCTCTCAAATAAATACATAGATACGTATATATATATATATATATATATATATATATATATATATATATATATATATATATATATATATATATATATATATATATATATATATATATTAGAAAGAGCTGCTTACCTCAATAGATATTTAAGTCAACGACTGAAAAAAAGGAAATACACATGTCAGCTTCTAAAGAGGAGGATGCTCTCTTCCTTGTCAATAATAAAAGTTAGTGCATCGTATCACGCGCATACTTCATGATGAAATCCAGGACGCAGCAGACCCAAAATATATATAACTTGTGAAAACAAGGAAAAGCTTCAGTTCCCCCTGAAATAACACCACCCTTATTGATTAACCGAACCTACTCTTATAGTCCAAGCACGTAAATGCGCATTCGATTCGCAAATTCGTGTGAAAATGAATGAATCAACTAAATTTGTTGAAGTGATATATTATTTTTTTGAAATTATTTCATTATTAGCCAATCCTCTTCTTTTATTGATTATTGTTTCTGAGTCTCTGTTTAATGTCGAAGATATTACATTTCGTGTGTACTTTACAGTTGCGCACACCAATGTTAATGAACTATTGAGCTAATTGAATCTGTGCAGAAAAAAAGTTTCTGACATCTGTTACAATGCATAACCACGGTTATGAATGAATATGGCTTTTAAAGAGGAATAGCCATGTTTAATTTTATTTAGCGCAAATAGTATGCACAGTACATAATTTAATTAATCTCAACAGATGATCGGATTGTTTTAAAAAAATGAATTATTTTGTTCCAATATGTCGCTTGAAAGTACAGTATTATCATTATCGTCGTATGACGCCATTAAACACTGACGATGACGTTGGCGTTGACGTCACAGGATTTGTTAATATGGTTGCATGTACTATGCAGTTAATACTCGTGATTACAGTACTTCCAAGTGAACATAACAAACAATTTACTTTTTAGTCAGACGGTCATGATACTGTAACTAAAGTAGAAGACGCCACTTGATTTTCGACCTAGATAAACATAAATCGTTACAAATTTGTCCTCCTTTCCAAATGAAGTACATTTGAAATAATAATAATAATAATAATAATAATAATAATAATAATAATAATAATAATAATAATAATAATAATAATAATAATAATAATAATAATAATAATAATAATAATAATTAGGGGTGAAAAAATGATACACCTATGTCGTGTATCAATACAATTCACGATACGCAGCTTGCGTTAAGGTACATATCGGTACATGTATGAACTTAATTTCCTTTCATGTTTGCAAGAAAGCTGGTTCCCTTTCATTGTTGTTGACATTCTTGGTTGTATTTCCATTATGCAGACAACAGATATACATATAGTTACAATACATTTATATGCATTTCTCTTTCATAAGAATATAACAACAATAATTTCAAACAGACTACCTGTTGCTTGCAGTGATTTGTTTCCAACCTTTTCCAACATTTGTTGGCCTTTTAATGTGGCTCCATTTACCACCCTTTGTTTTGTACAAAAATGAATGATTTGAAAACATATTACCGCTATTTCGTATCTCATTTACAACTTTAAGACATTACAAATTCAAAACAATAGAAACGATGCAATTTCCTCATGCAAAGAAAATATCATTTAGAACAAATCCAGGTATGGGAATAAGGTTGAATACCAACAAAATCTATTACATTTTATTTCCTGCAAATGCAAAAGACAGCTGAAGCCACAGGTACTTAAATTGTTAGTGAAGAATGAAAACTATAGACTACGCCCAGTCTTATTCAACAATATTTCTTTTAACTTCACAAGGTGATAAACTTGAGCAGATTAAAATTTGCACTATCGTTCATTCTATGCTAATTTCATTTATTCCATCAGCACCTTCATTAACTGGTTATATTTTTCTGCAAAAAAGAGAAAAATTCCAAGAGAAAATGACAGGATTTTAGCTTAAGGGATACCCTATTTTGAAAGAAACAAGGAGGAAAGGAAGAAATGGTCATAGGTCAATTTTTATCCAATCTTCAATGTCTGTCTCACTTTCTTCCTGCTCCACTTTCTCAGAGGTCTACTGAAATTAACATCTTTAAAAGATTGCACTCTAGTTGTACAAACATTAATCTGTTAATTAATGCTGAGCATAGTATTTTCATGTTCTTTGTATCAATATTGTTCTGAGCTTCTTTCTGAAGGGGCATATATAGAGGATCTCAAATTGGTGACGATTTAATATTTAATTATGAAACGAGTTGAATAATGTTCAGCTTTTGCGAGACTTGGCGTGTAAAAGCGGACATTATTCGACGAGTTTCATAAATTTAATATTAAATCATTACCAATTTGAGATTTTTTTATCGCGTAGTTTTAATTTTTTATTGGAAATTATTTAGATAGAAAGAAGAACGAAAAATTTCGTTCATTCTGATGGACGTTTCACCTTTCATTTCTTGTGCATAAAATATAGTCCCAAAAAAAACGTTGAACTGGTAAAGTAGATTGTGCTTTTTTAAACAAACTATAAATCAAAGAAAAAACTTCCATCCGAATGAAATAAATATTTTATAACGACAAAACCATATTTCAAAACATACTGATCAATGCGATGTGATGCTGCGAAATTGATACGGTACTAAGTACAGTCGGCTTAGAGTACATGTTTAACCTTAAAATGACACTTTCTGTACTAAATGTTACATTGTTGTGATTGTTATGTGAAATAGCATTACTGGATGCAAAACTTCCCATATTTTCTGATACGCTTTTGTGGATTGATATTTTCAGTATTTGATTTGCAACGATAGATTGTAGAGAAGAAGTAAACAAATTTATATTCTCGTCGGATTTGCATTCCATATAAACTGCGTAAAGATGATGTGGTTGGATAAAGTTCTGTCAGGAGACCAATTTATGTCCAGATTCTTCTGTGAACACAGGTGAGTTTATTTACTTCTTTAAGTTAAAATTTAGATTACGCTTGTATATACAGCGGATTCTATATCTATGTAACTGATGTACCGCCCACCTCCCCAACCCCACCAAACGCTATCAAAGAAGCAATACCCTTAGTTGCACTTCTTATCGTTATTCTTGTCTTGTAGTTTTATGCCATTTTCTTATGATGATATTGTTATACAAACCTAT